TTCTCATCCTTTCTGCAATGGGATGTTACTATTGCCATTGGGAAAATAAGACCTAAGTATTTTAATTTATAAGTACTTTTTTCAATCTCAAAAATGGCTCTAATGAATAGATAGCTGGGCCTAAAGAACTAGTTTTATGAAATTGTAAGCAATGTCCATGAAATTTTACTGGGGCAGTTTGCTCATGAATTGTTTTCAGAAGGCTCTGTGTCAGATATCTCTTTGAATTAAGATGAACTACCCAGTAAAGCGACTTTTAAATGTCAGAGAAAGCTGGAAATGGATATTACTTTATAAGCTTATTCTAGAATTTTTAGGACACAAAATAAACTGTGTAGCATTTTCTAGCAAAACTTAAAAACTGCAAATTTCAAAGTGAAAAATATAGATCACTGATCACAAAACTGTTTAACATACGCAGGCAAGCAAAAGAAAATTAGAGGCAAGGTTCTGCAACAAGGGGAATGCAAAAATTGCAGCACTGGATCAGGCCTGTGGAATGATCTTATACATATAACTTCCCCTTGCACTTTGTAAAAATTATTTCATTGCCAGAAATGGAAAAGCTTGTATTGCTATGGTTTTGTAATCCTCTAATATACAAGTAAATCTTCATACATATAGATATATAAAACATAAAATCCACAAGAACTTACGAAATTCAGTGTCGCAATTTGTTTGTACAACTAATTTTTTTGTCTGCTTAATAGTATATTTTCCAAATAATTGAATATCCTCTTATGTTGTTTTTTTGTGAGTGGGTTAGGTTTTATTTATATTGTGGTAGCAAAGGGGTGATGTTTGTTACAACACTGTCAAACTGTGCTTTTTTTGTGTATGCCTCAGTCATGTGTCATCTCACATTGAGGGAGATCTGCAGCCCAAATGTTGGATTTCATTCATGTAAAATCTTCCCTCTGCCTCAGACCTTTCTTTATTCTGAGCTCTCACATTTTGAGAGTGTTGTGGAGGGGTTTTGAGCCTTCACTGTCTGTACTCATAGACAGTATTCTAAAAGAGGACATACTATGGTTCTGTTACAGTTATTTCAGTATTTCTTTTTGTATTACTGTTCTGCATAGTTTAGTTTTTATTGGTGGTTGTTTTATTTTTGTTTTTTTGATTATGTGACTTTCTAAGATATTTTTCTTAGACCTATTTACACTGAAGTGCAGGTTCTTTCTGGGTTGGGAATTTGGTAGGGGTTTTTTTCTCCTATGTATCACCTCTCAACATTAAACTGAATCTGTTCTTGTGTTCGTGGGATTGCTGGGAAATTCAGGTTGGAAGGGACCTCGTGAGGTCTCTAGTCTGACCTCCTTCTCAAAGCAGTGTCAGCTATGAGGTCAGACCATGTTACGGGGGATTTTATCCAGTCTGGCATTGAAAACCTTGAAGCAAGGAGACTACAAAACTTCTCTGGGCTATCTGTTCCAGCGCTTGACTGTCCTCATGGTGAAAATGAGTATGTGTATATGTATACAAGTATACAGTATATAAAAATCTTATATCCAGTCTGGACTTCTCTTGTTTCAACTTACGCTCATTGCTTCTTGTCCTGCCACAGTGCATCACTGTGGTGAGCCTGACTGCTTGCTGACCTCCTTGTAGATACAGACAGGCTGCTGTTAGGTCTCCCCAAAACTGTGTCTTCCAGGCTGAACAAACCCAGCTCCCTCAGCCTCTCGTCACAGGGAAGTGCTCTGGCTCCCTGAGCATCTTGGTGGCCTACTGCATCCAAATTATGGGTGTATTTGTTGTATTGGGGGGCCCAAAATGAGGTGAGTTAGACCATATATGGCTAATAAGCACTGAGGAGAGGTGATAATCAGTTCCCTCATCTACTGGCCAGGCCCCTCTTAGTAAAGCCTGGGATACTGTTGACCTTTCCTGCCAGGGCACACTGCTGGCTCATGATCAGCTTGCTATCTGCCAAGACCTTTTCCACAGAACTGCTCCCCAGTCAGTCTCCAGCCTGTATTGTTGCCAGGGCCTCTCAGGTGCAGGGCTTTGTTTTTTGTCCTGTCTGAATATGAATTCAGTGCCTGTAGAGTCCATTCCTCCAGCCTGTCTAGGTCCATCTGAATGGCAGCCCAGCCCTTTGACTTGTTAATTGAACCTCTTCACTGCAGTTAAGTATTATCTTAAAATTCTGACCAGAGCACACCCTACTAGCCCTTCAAGTCATTGGTAAAGTTGTTTAATGGACTTGTCCTAGGGTAGACCCCTGCAGCACCCAATTTGATGCAAGCCTGCAGGTAGCATACAATGCTGTAACCATTATCCCCTGAGCCTGTCCAGCCAACTGTTTCCTACCAGTCTAGTTGTTCATCCATTCTAAAAAGAGGTATTTTTTTTTTCTAGTTCACTAATACTCAATTTGTTGAAGTTCCCATATTCTCTCTTAGTGTCTTGATGCGTTTTATTGTTAGCTTTTTTAATCAGTGAAAACCTACCGATTAATCTTTATTTTGTGTATTGAACAGTTACTTTCTCATTCTGTGACTAATTTTCTTGGTGAACTCGTGAGAAACTTTGTCGTTGCCTTTCTCTAAGTTACACGAAGCCCAGCTCTTTTTTTCAGTGCTGACATAATCATACCATATCTTCTTCAGTTCTTTATAATGGTGATTGTAGTCATTTCAGATACTCCTGCCTACCGTCTGAAGTAGAGCAAGCTGATTAACATTTGTTAAAGTAGATGGGGTTTTCTAGTTGCTTTAAAACAGATTGTGCCTGGACCTACAATCTCGTTTCTAGCTCAGGCGATTTGTTGTTCTTAATTATTTGCTCACTTCTCTTTGAAATGGTCATTTTGATAGATATGCGTGCTAGATGATAATGTGTCTGGAAAAGCTATGTCACTAGCATTCTTCATATAAAATTCATACTAAAGCAACAGTTTTACTGGCAGTACTTCAGCAATTGCTTTGTCTTGGTGGTGGTCTACTAGATGTTCCAGTTCTTATTCAAATTTGTTGCTTATGATCTAATAAAATAATTTCCCGTTCCTTTCTAAGCTTTTGTTGGTTTTAAAATCATTCCTATTTTATACTTCTTTTTTTATGATCTCTCCTTTTCTACAGCTTCATTAAATTGAATTTCTATTTCATATGGAAATCTTGTTAGTTTAGTGCTATATATGCTGTAGGTAGTCTTTCTTTACTCCCAAAGGCCGTATTTCATCTTTCTTCCCAGTACTGGCCGCAAACTGTTCCCTTGCTTACCATTCATATGAGTTGTACTTGTTGCATACCAGCAACAGGCTAAAATACCTCCTGATTTCAGGTTGTATAAGAGTAACTCTTAAATGTTTACCCTCCCTCACAGAACCATGCTGTTTTGCTATGTGGCCGCAAATCTGTAGCTATTTTACCAGTTGTCACACTTCTGTTTTAACATCTGCGACAACAGAACTAGTGGAATGAATACCTTTCTCTTCAGCTAGACAGTTTTGAGTACAGATGTTAGAGCTCTTGAGAATCAGATATGGACTGGGGTACAAATAGGTTTCAGTGTGTCTGATATGGTGGGAACACATGGATGAAAGTCTGAGTTATTTACAAAACTGTAGTGCAAAATTTTCTTGCTTTCAAACATTGCTTTTAAATGAAATACTGTTTTGACTATGGGTTGCATGGGTACATGTTTACAAATGTGAAATTACCTTATGCATATTTGATTGACTACCTGTCTTCTGGATGTCATTACCACCTTAGAGTTCAGCAGTTTCTTGGTTCAGTTGTGTTTTGCTTAGGTCTGTGTCTGCGCAGGCAAACAACATAATTTCTGTTATCCTTATTAGATGTCAATATGCACATAATGGTTTTTGTCAGTATTTTTGACCTGTCAACAGGATCAAGGTACAAATGAGTAAACTTGACTCTTTTGGGGGGAGGGTAGGGACACAAGAGAAAGTGGCCTCTGGATTTTGGTTTGGTTTGGGGGTTTTTGCTCCTTCAGAGACTGCCTAAATCATGTTATCTTTACTGACTGAATAGCGCTTCTCTCCTCTTTCCAGTTTAATGTAGTGGATCATGGATTTGTGTGTGATTATGATTTAGTTGCTTTGTTGTATGGCTTATTGAGTATTGCAGTGTGGCCTGTTTGCTGGCTTCACATGAAGTAGAGCATTGCTAACTGTATATCTGGATGTTTATATAAAATACTAAGTGCATGTGTTGAATTTTTGTATAGAGAGAAGAATATTTTGCTACCTGTGCAAGAAATTCTGGCCAAATGAAGTAATTAAATGAAGAGTGCGTATTTAATTAATGATCAAATACAATGTGATTCTTCTTTCTGGCCAAAGAAATTACTGAAAATGTGTGCTAAAACTGTATTTTAAAAGCAAACAATTAAACAGAAAACTTCCTTAGTGCCCTTGGAATCTTTTAACATGTGAGCCAAAGGAAATGCCTACCTTATGTTGTCATTGGAACAGCGTCTATTTGAGGTTCCCTTAGGCCTCTTTTTTACCCTGCTAACTAAGCTATGTGCGTGCAGTGAAAGTCTCTTTTTCATATAAAAGTTACTTTTCACAAAAGTACTCTGCTTTCACAGCAGTTTCTGTCTGTGGTTAATAAATTTCTTTGAAAATTCTGATTTTTCTCCAGAGATGTTGATAGACATAACATTTTTTAAATTCCTGATTTATATGTAAGGAAGAAGTGGTAGGAGCCGTATTTATTCAGAATGACAAAGGAAGTCCATAGCAGAGCAAAACTTAGAACCTAGATACCCTGACTGATAGTCTTCTGCTCTAGCCATTAAATCATTCTTTTTTTCTGTATAAGATTTTCTGAAAATTGTGCTATGAAATGATACCACAGTAATGGGGTTGGAGATGTACATATGTTGCTAAGAAACTGCATGGTCTGTTCTGGACCAGCCACTGTGATAAAGTGGCTGTCTTAAGTTGTTGCGTATGGAAAAGGGCCACTTTAGGTGATGTGCGTTTTGCTCCACCAATTTCTGACCTGCAATGCTTGCCTTTGCAGATGGAACATGAGGATTTTGTAATGGAGGGGCATGGCAAGACTCCACCTCCTGGTGAAGAAAACAAACAGTGAGTCACACGTTTATTTAAAAAGGGCCTTACCATAGTAAATGGTGTGAAGCACTTTTGTTTAAATGTGCTGGGAGCATTGGTTGGTTGTTTGGTGCTCGCCCTTTTGGTTCCTTAAATATCCATATAATAGTGGATGGTGGCTAAAAAAAACCTTGACTTGCCTTAAATTTAAAAGCATAGAAATATGCATTCTGATTTCAGAAGGTAAATCAGAAGTTGTTGTAAAAGGGATCATCGTTCTGGAAGCTTGGCACTGAGGTAGTGAGTTTGTACATCAAGTTTTTATACAGCTCTTCTTCGCTGAAATAATGTGAAATATGATAGAACCAGGGCCTTCCTTTTGGTGTGCATACGGTAGATTGGTCCTCTTTGAAATATGAGCCTTACTTCTTTAGAATGCCTTTTAATAAAGGAACAGAAATTGTAAACAAAATGCTCTTTCAAGGATGAACAACTTAAGATGCTGTTACGCAGTGCTTTAGGGAAAG